GGTACTCACCTTGTTAGCAGAGAATATCTTAGGTTTATTAATTTTTACTTATATTCCTTACTTATATTGATTGGAATTATTTAAAATTTTCAGCGGTTGCCAGATACTAGCAGTGAGGCACTTGGGGCGAGTTATTTATTTCTGAAATAATTTTAACTAGAGAACTTTATTTTAAAATATTTCTACTGGTTTTATTGATTTATGTGCAATAGTGCCAGAAACCTGCCATATATGCTCACTTATAAGTGGAGTCCAACTGTAACTGGACAGACATAGACCTGCCATCACATAATGCACTGGTAGATCTGGGTCAGTGCAGTGCAGTTAGGAGTAGAACAAACAACATAAACCGTGAATTTGGGTGCTTTATGCTACAGCAGATTTGGATCTTTGTTTGCAGTTTGGCTTGACTCATAAGCAATTACATACAGTACTATTTTGAACCTTTTATTGTTGATTACCTTGATGTTAGTTTGGTAAGTCAACAGTGTACTTGTACTGTACATCTAGTGATTGAGCCAGCAATGGCAGATTTGCCCAATTTCTTCACCTTCAGATATTGAACCACAAAACAGGTTTGTTTTTTTCAATCCTAGAAATTGTCTTTCAAATTGAATACCTCAGCTGTTAAGAAAAAGTGAAGGATGTTCGATGAGATGCTGTTGTGGTTTTTTTGTTGAAATTTCAGTTTTGTGTAATTAACATATTTATAACTTTTTTAAAATATATTTTGGATAATTAATACCTGCTGGACAAATACAAGTGGTTAGCCATGAGATAACTGTCATTTCTTCATTTATGTTGTGAAGAAAAGTGAATATTAAAAAAAAGAATTCAGCAGCATAAAGGATTTTGACAATTTTATCCTTCTTCAAAACCACACTATTTATGAAATGTTAAAGTACATAAATAAAAACATTTCCACATATTGCTATATGCCAGGGGAGGTAATTGATGGATTACAAACAAATAAAAAAATGATGTCAAGTTATATTTTCTATCTTCAGAAGCATACAAGACAACAAAAGATGCAGATTACACAGATGACTGTTTAAGCATTCTACAGAGACTGTCAGCAGAAGCTGGCAGCACTCAGACCACCAAAGCTGCAGAGGCAGTAAGTTATACTGGTTTTTAGATGAAGTATTAATCTAGTTTTCTAATCTTTATGTATATATATTATGAAAGAATTTTCAGCTTGTCTAGAGTTTTACACTAAAATATGGAGTGATTGTGTTTAGCATCAGCAGCATGGCAAAGATTTGTTTTTTTATGAACCTTTTACATTAGCAAAAGGTGGCATATCTATTTCTTATTGTCCATATGTATTTTGTAAGTAGTGTGTCTTTAGGGTAGGAAAGAAACATTGGTTTAAGGCTCAAAAGGTCAGAGGTTAATGTCATGGAGATAGAAAGAATGAAAACTGTTTACTCAGTAATTTTACTTCTGTACCATGTACCTTGAACATTTTTTGTAAAATTGCTTGCATTTGAGAAAGGAAAGGAACCTATTAATTATGGAATTGAAAGAATAATGGTCACAGTCACAGTGACTCAAAGAAGAAACATAGTTTCAGCACAACATTAACTAAACTTTGTTCAAGTTTTGCATTTGATACAAGAAAGACACCTATTCATTTTGGGGTGAGAAGGTCAGTTTCACATGGGCAGAAAAAAGTAGAAAATTTGACAGGGCTTTCATGGGTACAAATATCAAACATGGCAGCCATTATGAAAAAAAGGAAAACCTTTTTTAAAATGACTTTATCTTAAAAACTACTAAACATAATTAAGTTGGACAGCATACTGACGTGAAGGGCATTTGTATAGAAAGGATGCTGCACATATTGCCACCTTTACTAATAATAGAAAGACATTTAATATCTTCTCAAAATAGCTGAACAGTCTTTAACTAAATTTGATGGAAAGTATCCGGACACAAAGGGGTTTCAATTTTTATAAATGATATTGATCTGATATCAGATGTGACAGCTGTTACTAAAAACTGAACAATCTTTAAATTAGTCTTTCTGAAGAAAAAAAAAACAGCTTAGGAGATTTTGACCAATTTAACAGGAAAGAATCCTGGCATGAAAGGCTTTTGTGTTAGTACCAGAGATCCTAAAATTGCTGTATTTGCTGGAAATGTGCAGTACATCAAAGGTTTTGACAGGAACAGAATATGAGCAACCAGACATGTCTTTGATTGTTTTATCCATTTTTTGCTTTGTAAATACCTTAAAGAAAAATTCAAAAGTTTACTAGGTCTGAGTTATAGTTTCTTTGTTGGGTAATCAGTAAAGATGTTTATGCTTAATTCAAAAAGGTGAGAAGGTCTTACAGTGTCTTTGTCAGACAATTAGTAGAGGTGTTTTTGATGAACATTTAACCACTTAAGTCTAATCAAGCTGCAGACACTAAAGATCCTGATCTGCCATAGCATATATATTTGGTGATTGACCATACAAAAAATTTAAATGAACATTTACAAAAGAAAAACATTTTACGTCTTTTGCTCAGATAATTTATTCATATAAATGAAGACATAAGGAGTGGACATAATTTCTACAAAAACACAACACATCAAGCCAAATTATGAAATCAAACTCTTATTTATGTTAGAACTAAAACTTTGAATCACTGTATATATATTCGTGTATAAGCAGATTAAAATAGGAAAAAATAAAGGCCTGGAAGTAGGAGGGGTTGGCTTATCCACAGACCAAGGTCTAAACTTTATAAAGTTTTTAAGATTTTTTTTTGTTGACTACCATAATAGCTGTAAATCTTGGGACAATAAAGAAATGATGTAGCTGCATGTATACATTCCACGCGACCCAACACTTACTAAACTCTTATAAACTACTATGATTGTTTTTGAAAATTCTGGATATAGATCAACTATTTTAGTCTATTTAACTTTTGCGTTTTGGCTGAACAAAATCATTTTCCACACAATGGAAAGCATCTCCTTTGTTCATAATTGGTGGATTTGTCTTTTGTTTTCTGACAGCAATACAGGCCAGTTAAGCATTAAAACCCTGAAACTGGCTTGTGTTAAGAGGTAACTTTGACCGGCAACTATACCAGTACTTTGATGTGTAATAGCTTTTCACTCTATAATATTAGCACGATTACCATACTTTTGTAAAATGGGGTGTACAGTCGCTTAATTACAGCAAACTACAACTCGGGGTTTTTATGGTATTAGCATAATTTTCAAAGCCTGCTTTCTGAAACTTCATTATTGTATTTTGGAGTTGTCATTGGTGCCACGATTCCAATTTGAGGGACCTACTTCATTCAGCAGAATGTACTTTATTCAGTACATGTTCAAACCTACAATGTTCATACTGTGGCACCATTATGTAAATGCACTCACTAGCGTTGAATCAAACCCTGTTGTTGTTGGTTGATGTCATACCAGGATCACATTTTAATGAGTTAGGTATTTACAATTTCAAGGCAAAATAAAAACGTAATTACTGGAAGACTGATAAAATAGTTCTAATGCATTAGTGCACATATAGGCAATAATTGAGTCATAAGGAAGAGGTAGTGTTACAGCAACCTGCGAATGCTCAATTCTTGTCATTGTCTGAGTAATTTATTCACAAATTTGAATTTGGCAGAAGTAATAAGAAGGCAGAAAATAAATTTCATGACTTTTGAAATACATTTATACAATTTTTGTGTGTAATCATACATGCCAACTCCAAGAGAGGTATATGTGTAATTTTTTCTAATATAATTTTTTTATAAATAAATGCATGTAGAACTTGTCTCGTGCATCTTGTGATTTTGTCTCGGACTTGTGGATTGGCTTATATGTGGGTCATGCACTTTTTAGTGTTTATACCTATTTGGTTTGAGGGCTGGGCTTATACACACTTGTGCTTATACACAAGTATATATGGTACTTCAATAAATCAATGAAATTATTGTGAAATTTTGGGCATCATGCCATGTTGTATTATATCCAAATTTGTGTTACAATAAAACATGCCATGGCCAGATCAATATTAATAGAAATTTCTACAGAAACAGTCTTGAAGCTATGCTGTCTTGTATTTGGCTGTCATATAAATGTCACCAGGTGAGTGATATGCCCATTTGTGATTCTTATTTTATAGGTTGTGGAGCGGGAGAAATGCAGGTTGTCTAAAAACATGAGGATAGAGAAGAAACCAAAAGACGAGTCCACAGTGTTTACAGACCGAGACTTTGACAGGTTTGAGGAAGAGGATAACTTCTTTTCTTGACATAAATCTGAAACCTTATAAATATGGACATTAAACGTGTGCTGTCACTGAGCACGTCCTGTGGGATTCAGCGGACTGGTGACGCACAATGCAGCTGCAAATTAGTTTTGGACATATGACCAATGGAACAGAATAATTTTCTTTTCCTGTGTTAATACGGAATATATTTCTGTGTGTAATTAAAAAAAAACAGATTTTAACAAGTGAAAAGTTGTATTAAAATCATGCTTTCAGCAGAAAATCTTTTATGGTGTCTAGTAGGTCCCGAATGGAAATGATAATGAACTGATATCAGTATGGCCACAATAGTCGTTACCTGGAAAAATCCTCTAGACTTTATGGTCAAATTGACTATCTGCTATAATGACAATAAGCATTGGGACACTGTTATATTCATAAGTAATTTTTTATGAGCTGTAAAATGTTGGGATACGAAATTAGAGCAATTTTTCATGTCTTGTGACACCTTAGACATTATTTTGTCTGCTGATTGATCAGTGTATTTTATCAATCATAACATCATTTTAAAATGATGTAGCGCTTTTTTAAAGGACTACAATTATGAAGTATCCAATGAAAATGTTATAAAATAAAAAAATCTGGTTGAAAAAGTAAATATGTTTCAGTTTCCTTTAATTTTATTTTTTATACCTAATTGAAATATGTCTAATTTAATTAGATGATCATAAGCGTTGATCAGCAGTAAGATGTTCCTGTATTAATATTCACTTCTCCCTTTGACCATTTAGGTGGCCTTAGTGGTTAGAGCATCTGTCTCAGATGCAGGATGTCGTGGGCTCAAACCCCAGCGAAGTCTTACGAAAGACTTCAAAATATGATACTAATAGCTGCCTAGCTTGGCACTCAGCATTAAGAGGTTAGCATTAGGACTGGTCAGTCAGGTGTCAGTGTGTGACTGGGTGGTACATGAGCCTACATGTCTGCATCAAGATGCCCCAGTGATAGAAGTCACTATAAACTGCCACACTGCAAACATTGTTGTGATATGACTAAAATTGTCAAGGCTTCGTTACAAATCCAAATCACCTGTCCACACTTCTTCCTTTTTGTGTTCTAGTTTACTACTGATAGTTTATACATTATTGCATTGAAATTCTTAAAATTCACCAGTTATGGGGGGGGGATACCTTGGAAATGTATATATCTCATTTGTAAATGATACTACTGCACTAGACTTCTGTAATATTCTTAAAATATGATAAAGAAGTTTCAGAAATAATGCTTTGGAAATAATTTAAATACCACAAAAGCTTGCTACTAGTTTGCTTTGATGTAAGTGACCTTAAATAAGTACCTGTTTACTCAGCAACTGTAATCATGCAAATATCATGGAGTTAAAGGCAAATACACATTGAAGAACTACACCAGTGATGGCTACAAATTCAGTACATGATAAAGAATTTACATCATAATGAAATTTAAGGAAAATATGGAAAGCTGATGAAATGTGTATTACTTTTTCATGTTTACATGCACATGTATGAGAGAGACAGAGAGGACTAGATTAAAAGAAAGTATTTTGGCTCAAAACAAAAGCATGAATACTAAGTCTGGACAATTTTAATATAGATAATGTATACACAATAGACAATTCCAGAGAACACAAAGATAAAAAATAATTCAAAAGAATTCACATTTTTTTCCAACTTATGAAGAATTCCTAATTTCCAAATTCAAGCCCTCCATATTAAAACTATCAAACTCTCTATCCTCCTCATCACTATAAAAAGTTTGTGCAAGGCCATTGGAGCTTACATGATGATCATTGCAGCCATTCTTATGGTTGCCAACCTGCACATTTTATTTGATTTCTTTTTAAAAATGAGCTTTGGATTCCCTTACCTTCATTCAATAGCATTATCTATCCAATTTATGTCCGTTTATCAGCTGCTTTGATTGTTGATTGTAGTCCTTGTTCTTTGCTAGCTTATTAAGCTTTGCAAAAAAAGCAGTCCAAAGTTCATATAGTTACCCTTTCCAGTTTTATGACTGGCTGGGTTCTGAATGAATTTGTGATAACAAGAGGTATCTTTCTCTCTGGGTGTGTTATAGATACAACCTCATCTATTCGCTATGGCATCATCCATCCAGGCTTTGTTCTGTAGTTACAACCCTGTGTTTTGATGCCTTTTAAGCCATGATAATTCTGGATTAAAAGCATTGGTGGTAGTACCTCTCCGTTTGCTGAAACAGCAAGTACTGTGGTTAAATATTTTTTGTTTTGCCCTCTGCTGTGTGAATGCAGATGGATTTTTCTCCCTTTTTCTGTTTTTCCAGGGACAAGTTCAAAATGTGTTGGTGTTTCATCCATGTTTATAATCACAGAGTTGCTGAAGTCATCTTCATTTTGTCTCTCTATTTCAAATTGTTGCTGTAAGGAGATTTTGTCTTTTAAATCTGTAAGCAGTATCGTGGATGTTCTGGCTTTAAGCACAAAGTTGTATGTTTTCATAAACAAGAGCTTCAAGCACTACTTACTTTAAAATCTATTAGTTAATTGACATGATGTCATGGAGGTATTAAGTCAGATTCCCTTTGTGCAATCCATTGATGTTTATTTGCAAACAATCTAATTTCAGTCCAAAACGTCCTTGTGTGTAAAAGAATAGACAGCAAATTCCATACACTTTATATTGAAATTTTTTTATAATCCTATAAAAATTAAGTATTACTATTAGATTTTCTTAAGAGGAAGATTTACTTTTTATTCTTGTAAAGAAACAATTTGGAAACAAATGAAGATTATATTGTATACTTAGCTAAGGTATATAAACAGTCAACCAGAGAGTCAAGAGAGGGTAAGACAACTGCAAAATGCAGAGCACAGATGGAAATCATGGGTAATAGAGAAATTTTAGTCTCCTAGTGGCATAATGCAATTCTAAATTAATTTGAATCTTTTCAAATAAGCAAATCTTGATTATGATATTACCAAGATTTATTCAGATTTTCATGCAATTTTCTGGGATATTTGGTCTTGTCAAATGCCAGCATAATATCTATTATCAGTTCTTTGGTATTATAAATCTGTGATGTAACAGTCATTAATTTACAGGTGTACATTCTATTCTTTTGGGTGACTAATGGCGCTATCATCCTTTGAGTCTGAATGGGATTTAAGAAATAACAAAGACATGAGTGATAAAAATATATTATCCTCTCTTAATAAGGATTTAAATATAAAAAACAGGACACAGAAATGACAAGAGTACATAGTATGTACTCAATGGAAAACAATGAAGAAAAACAAAAACTTAATTATTTAGAATATTCAGTAACTCTATGATGCTATCTTACATAGTCAAACACTATTATAACATTTCTCTTGTAGTCAACCACTATAACATACATGCCAACCATTACGCTTTTAGCATAATCGTTACAATTTTTTTTTCACTAAATTACGCCTTCCTTGTAAAATGTCTTTGGATTATGCTTTTTCGGTATATCCCCTCTAAAAAAAAAAGAATTTGTTTTCTCATTTTTATTAACATCCCACTAATAACACACTTGTCTCTAGACTAGCAGTGACTTTCCTAACAGTGTTATGTTCTATTTATAGCAGCTGTCCTATTCTCAAGAAACATGCTGGTTTGTACTTTCAAACTTTTAACCTCGGTTATATTTATAGCAGCTGTCTGGCTTAGGAGGGAACAGACTGGTTTTCTAATTTTTAATCTTTGCTCACATATTCTTTGTTATAAATCATATGAGGTACAGAACCATTTACAATTGGTGGTAAAAGTCAAGTCTGATTTATTCTAGTTGATGCGTATGTTACAGCATAAAATGTTTCTCAAATGATTTTACAGATGGATCAAAAAAAAAAAAGGTTTAGAGATGAATACATGAATTACACAATACATACAGTGTTCAATTCTAGGGTAGTTTAACACCCATTGCAGGCTGTGTGGAAAGGATTTTAAAATTGGTCATAGTGTAAAGCAAAGATGCCTTTAATTAGCTCATTTTGCTAACTCCAGTACTAAGGTAACTTCTTTTTCTAGCAGAACTAAATTGTGTAAATTAATTTTATAAATGCAGGGGTGTTTTTTTTTACAGAGTTCTTAATAGAATGGTAACTACCCATAGTGGTAAAATGCAACTTTGGATCTTTGTTCAAACAGATGCTAACTGATGCCAAAATTGCGGAAAATATTCTTGTACAAAAACAAAATCATGTAATATTAAGTGTTGAGCAGAAGGTACAACACTTAAAATTGCAGAAGCCATGAAGATTGGGTCCTTTATTATTGCAACAGACAAGAGTAGTGATTATGATGACAAAATGTTGTACCCAGTTGGTGTAAGAGACTTTGAAACAAAAAATGGGCATGTTCAGATTGCTTTTTTTCATTACCAGAATTAACAGCAGAATCCACTGATCAAATAATTTCTAATTGTTTGATAATGTTTTGAATAAACATAAGTTGGCAGAACTGTTTGGTGTTTCAGTTGCATTCTATATTTTGAAATATGTCTCCATCATTGTACATATTAAGTTGTTTGCTGCTTTTTAAAGCTCAAAATATGAAAACTTAAGCAGTAATTGATGTTAAAAAACAGAGGGGTGAATAATTCATTTTGTACATATGCACATTGAATTTTATTATGTTGTATGTGGATTACTCTTTTTCTGCTCAGATTACTCTTTTTGTCCACTTGGATTACACTTTTTCCTCACTAGGGATTGGCATGTATGCTATACTGACACTTCTCATACATATGACTAATGTTTACTTGATCTTTCATTTGCTTTTGACCTGCTTTCCTGGTTCAGTTATTTTAACCATGGAGGCCTACCATGCACACACACAAGGGCACTTGTCCTGGCGGTCTTTCATCTCTCCTTACCACAGTGGCCTTTAACTATGTCTACTTATCCACACCTAGTTAGCTGAATAAGAGAAAACAAATTTCCAGATAATCCGTTTTCTGATTATCATTCAGATTAATAACATAATAAGATAATGTTATCAATAAGAAAATGCATATTATGATAGATATTCACAATTAAAGTGGATTTTCGCAATATTGTTTCCATGATGTTATTCTGTAACAAATGTGGATGAATAAACTAGAAATCCTTCTCCTCTCTTCTCTTCACAGTATAACTATAAGATCAGGAGAATGATGCCTTTCAGCAACCGAAAATATGGTCACTCATTGAAAATAAGGTGGTGGAGATTGTGTATAGACCATCTCTGGGGTTTTATTCAAAGCTGTTTTTTATTCGGAAGGCAAACAGCAAGTTATGGTCAATCATCAACCTGCGTTGCCTCAACCAATTCATTTCATCGAAATTCAAGACGTAAACCATGAGATCAGTCCATCTCTTCATCCGACTGGACAAATATGCTGTCAGTCTCGATCTGACCGGGGCATATTTTCTTGTCCTTTCCACCCTGTATCATGGAAATTTTTGTTTTGCTTATTGCGACACGGTTTATTAGTTAAAAGCCCTACTCAACATCAGCCCTTGGATTTTTTTTTTACGAAGGTTATGGATTACATCGTCACTAGTTACAATCGATTTCAGCTAAAATGACGGCTGCTTACCTGGATGACATCCACCAGAAAGATATGGTAAGTTCTATTCTACTCTAATGCAGAAGCAAGCTTCTCTCACTTTTAGATCATCTAGACTATCTAGTGAACTGCAAAACATGAACTCCGTCCATCCCTGCTCTTTGTCCATCTGGGTATGGAATTGATTACCAAACTGAATCTGGTAGGGCTTTCTCAAAAGTTCTCATAATCAGGACCGTCAAACATCAAGTCCATTTCCAATAGGAC